CTCAGCTTACGATAGCTGCTTCCGAAAACCGTGCGCGATTCACCTGAACACTTTTTTTCAACAACGATAGCGATGGAAACGCGGTAAAAAACGAGTGTCGTATGAAGAGACCAGGACGCTGTTAACTGGCTCAGCGCTCGATACGGAATGACAGCTCAATTTTGAAAGCGATACATACTGTTTGTCTGTAGTTTTCTCCCAAAAGTGGGGAAACTCCACGACACTCACCTGTGCTCGTTTTAAAGCAGTTGCTGCTTTGCTTGCTTATGTGAGTGAGCCTAACAGCTTCCGTTTAATTTTGCCAGCTATGTTTGTAACTCACAGTCGCGTGTGCCGAGACGAACTTGGAATGCGTAGGCATTGTTTTCATCGTATCTCTTTTTCTGATCATCGTACACTGGAGTCGCTTTTTATGCGGTTTTTTTCACACGGTTTTTTTTTTACGCGGATTTCGGAATTTACAAGTTGTTTTTTACGTTGATTTCTGAATTTACACGGTTTTTTTACGCAGATTTAGGAACCTACGCGGTTTATCGTTGTACACTGGAGTCGCTTTAAACGCGGTTTTTTTACACGGTTTTTTACGCGGATTTCGGAATCTTTGCGATTTTTTTACGCGTATTTAGGAGTTTACGCGGTTTTTTTACGCGTAAAAAGCGATTCCAGTGTATAGTAACTGATGATGGTTGGACCTATTTAGACCGGTTTCACACGACGTCAACATTCATGTCGTATTTTTTTTATGAATTAAACGTATAATTATGAAAAATGCGTGATTAGGGGAAAGATTTTTTTTTTCCTTCGGTTTGTTTTTTTCCGTCGATCTTGTTTTCCGTGCTGAGCACCAATGCTACCGACGTGCCAGGAAGGCCCACCAATGCTACCGACGTGCCAGGAACCCTTTTTATACAGTTTTTATGAATTTGCTATTTTAAAAAATCAAGAAATTTGAGTTTAACTTCGTTTTAAAAAAAGTTCACTTTCCACGCATTAGCTATTCACCATGGCTCATTTTCTGGGAAATCATTGACCCGATTTGGAAATGTTTTAACGTTAAACTATAGGTATTGTGGTTCCATTGAAAGCTATCGAATATTTTTGGAATCGGTCAACTGGTTCCGGAGATATGGCCGGAACAAGTTCCAGGGTTTATGAAACATAGACCTAATTTTGACATGGAAGGAATAAAACCTATCATGCGACACTTCACATTACTTTCAAATTCGATAACAATATCAATAACAAAATTGAGTGCCTTGGATCACATTGGCCACTTCCGGGCATGTTCTGGGTGCCCCTGGGGAATTTAGGGGCTTAAAATGACAGAATATCAGAACTTAATTCCGGTTTTATAGTTTTTTTTTCTCCTAGGAGTTTTTTTGTCGGAAATAAGTTTCAGTTAGCCATTTTTAGTTTGTTAACATTTTATGTCAAGTTAATTCACACACAGAAGGTATATGAGAAGTGCTTAATGTAAATTCATATTAACAGATTCTTTCGGCGCTTTCGTGGTAGTTCGAAAATCGGTGGTTACCCTTTCAGCCAACCTGACGATGGAATTCCTCCTTTAAATTTACGCCCAACTAGTGACGCAAGGTCTTTAGCAGCTTCCAAGATCTTTTTGATCATCTTGGGCCTGCCCGAAGCAGCACACATACAAACCCAATCCCCTAGCTGGTTCTCCAAATCAACACTCAACACTATTTCGCTTCCATATTTCTTGCCGTGGCTTCCCTTAATTTTTGCGTTAAGTGTCGTTTTCGGAATATTGTACCTTTTCTGTGCCTGATACGCGGTAAGTGATTTATTTCTTACTAAAAGAACAGCCTCTTGAAGATTTTCGACCGTATAACTCTTTTCTTTAGCCATTTTCTCAATCGAAGAAACTGATCACTCGGCAAAAACGAAATCGAATTTCAAATCAGCTGCGCATGAAGGATGTAGACAAACCGAAGCGCACCTAGCGGCCGTCTTAGGAAACACATAGGTCCAACCATCATCATGCGTAGGTCCAACCATGATCATATTTATCTATTCGAATTTCGTCAATTATTCAAACATTTTACTGAAACCAATAGATAAATGACATACTAACAAATTGTTTACACCTTAAAGCAGTATTTTACTGCATGAAAATAAAAATATATGTGAAAAATATTCCTTTTTTGTATGTTTGAAAGTAAGGCATGATGACGAGCTAATGCGTGGAAAGTGAACTGTTTTAAAAAACACATTGAAACTCAATTGTTTTGAAGTTTTTTCAATAAACACCCATGCAAATTGAAGAAAAAGAGTTTTTTATGATAGTAAAGTGATCTTTGAAAATGAAAAATTAGCGAAGATTGACTAAACTAGAGATTGAAAAAATAGGTCCAACCAGAATCAATTACCCTACTGCAGAAGTCTTCACTGTTTTCGTTGTGTTTTACATCATCAACAGCGAGTGTTACGTTTTGCCTGTGACCGTCACAGAAAACCGTTTCTTGTTGTGTTTGTCGTATTAGATGTTAGATAAAAGCTTCTTTTATCGGTCTGTGTGCTGAAAATATCTGGGAATATCTTTTCATAGCCGTGGGGATACAAACAGAAAGTCGACGAAGAGAATCTGTCAATGTTACTTAGGACCTAATGCAATATTCAGCTTGACTTTAACTTTATGCATTATTTGTTATTTTACAGGCACTGGAAGTATGATGAAAAATATTTCTGTAAAATAGAAAGTAGAAAGAGATTTGCAATTGATCATTGTTTTACTTCACTACTTTTTCTTTATCGAATGTTGGTAAAAAATCCACAAGTTCTCTATATATTTTGTAGCAACGTAATTCATATATTCAGGCATACACATATTTGTGAACTCAAAAGCATAAATTACGCGCAATGCATGTTCGTTCACCAAGAAATCAAAATTAAGGCTCTGGAGATTAATCGTAATTTTATCAAAGAACCCTTTGCAACACGCTGCACTGTTGTTGTTTGAGACGTTGAAAACACAATGTTCAAACATCATGTACAAACATCATATACAAACATTAGACGCGCCCACATGTGTGATACATGTTCGAACACAAGGTTAAAAAGATTATGGGTGAGTGCAAACATGAAAAGCAGCAACACTACGTTGTGTGTTCAATACCGAAGACTGCCTGTGAACAACGACCATTACTGGTGATTGTTGTTTGCCATGGCTCTACCTAGAGTCGGTGTATAATGAGTCACGCCAAGAGTGAAGCCAAGTCTACCTATCGAACTGTCAAACCAGCTACCTATCGTGCAAAGTAAACAAACATTACGATGCTATGAAAGATCCACGAAAGGTATTGCAATAAAATATAAAATATAACCGAAGAAATTATAATAAACACGCAGTGAGCATTCAATTGTCATGGGATACGTTTGGTCATGATCAGTAATGAGAATTTCTACTATTTTTGTTAAGATAATTTGAAAAAAATCACTGATATAATGACTACAGCCGCTATTATTTTTTCTCGCTAGAAGTCATTTGAAGTTGATGTAGAAGTCCTCTGTTGCCAAGTTAAAAGAAAGGGAATCTTTCGAAAACCGTGATGCGAGTTCAACTGTTTTTCTCTTGGCGTGACTCATTATACACCGACTCTAGCTCTACCTATCACCGCGTGACAAAACGAATCTGTCAGCGATAGTCGGTTGATACGTTGGCGAGTGTCGAGTGAGTGTCATGATATTTTGCATCAATTCAATATGCCCGGACCTTACCCATTGTTTGCAGTATGGAATGTTATGGTAGAGTGATGTCGTCTCATCAGCAATGTTTACAATATTTTTTGCTCTGCACTATGGAAATTAAACATGCGGAAAATCGTTTTGTGGTCCAGATCCCGAAGGAATACAATAGGCACACCGGTTTTGTTTTCGCTGGTGCTGATTTCATCGGTTTTCCGCATATTTTTTAATTGTACCAAGTCAAAAAAATATTAGTTTTTCGCGTGTGGATAAGTTTAAATTAAGATCTATACACACTTTAACCCTCGCTTTAACCAACCGGTGGAAACTAACGATTTTAAATTGGCTCACTACTTGACTAGCCTATTGGTCCCAAGCAAATCTATTAACGTACCCCATTCTAGTCAAAATTCTAGAACTACACAATATTGGTTTTAAATCGCTATGAAAGTTTGACAGATAAAATGAGGGGTTCGTGGATTTTCCTATGTTTCGAGGGGTGCATCGATTAGCCTGGGACCGAAGATAGTAACAGAGCTGAGCCAAAAAGTTGAGCACGTTTCTTCGGGACCTACTAGTCTTAGAGTTACCTCGATGATTGGCACTCGATTGCAGGACAGAGACCAACGTTAAATAAAGGAATATTAAGAATAAGAGTAATATTAAGAATAAGGAGTTCGGCTTTGAGAGCCCTTCCAGTGGGCTTATCCATTAATTATTATTCCGAGCGGACCTTGCCACTACACCCATCTATTAAGAAATACTGCTCTATAATAGTTTATCGACCTCCCTTTAAGCACGATTTTGAAATGGATTATCATTCTACTGAAGAATTGGTAAAAAAAAACGTTCAGAAGAGGACATCGTCCAAGCACACATGCACACAATTATTAATGTGGAAAACATACTTTTATTACAGGGATCTTCAATTATGAACAGCAACACGTGTGGATCAATTATACTCATGCGATATTTAATGCAGTTTTGCAGTCATAGTTTACCACTTACAATATTGATATGCATAATCGTTTAAACAGTTATTCCCCAATAGGTTATGTTTTTTATTGAGTTCAGTGCATTTATTGAGCCGAACTAAACATGTTGAAAACTTTTGGGAAATCGTTAACATATTTTCTGGATAATTGTTCAATTCATGGCTTACGTTACCTTGGCTCAAGGTGTAATGTTCTAGGAAAGTATGTTAATCGGATCATCAATGCTTAAAATGTTATAATAAATCATAATTTCATTGCAGACTGTTTTGGCTGGTAATGATAATTTGTTCATTCACTTCGATGACCCTAATACTGCTGTATACATTAGAAAGTTTCGACGAGACAGTCAATATCAATATAGAAACATCTTATCTCCGGTGGAATAACACATTCCCAGCTACTTCAATATGCTACACAAAAGGACGAAGTTTAAGTAAGTTTAAGGGATGATATTATTTTTACGGGTTGTCTATAAGCTTCGTAGGCATACATACTTTGTTAATGTTTAACTCTCCTTAACTCTTTGTTTGGTAGACCTTTTATATGGCTTAATTTTTGCTAAAATCCTCGCAGTACGAAACAAGTTACATCAGCTTCTTATTTTCACGATGAGCTGTTTCACACCAACTCATGAATCGAAAAATGCGCTTTTTTTGCTTTTGAAGTTTTATTGATTTTTTTACCGCTTGTTTTTTTTTCTGAAAGGCCATATATTTTCCTACAACTTTGTCTCAGAAGGCATTTCAATTATAAGAGTCATTTTCGTGTTATGATTTAAAAAGGCATTTAGAAAAATTAGGCGTGAGTCAAAATGACCGAAGTTACGCATAAACTTGGTTTATTTAGCGAGGAATTATGTTATATTGTGACGTTTTCTAATGTCAGTATCTTGCAACCGACAACATTGCAGATGGAAAATATAATTTTTATATACAGAAAATTTTGTATAAACTGACTGAGTGTATGATTATTTTTCTTACTCTTTATTTGTTTCAAATTCAAAATAAATTACATTTCATTTTAACCTAGGTGCTCCAGTTACTACAGTAACTTACCAGCCTTATTTGTTATGATATATATGTAAGTGTGTTTACATTGTAGTATTTTAAACAGGTTTTTCAAACCTGCATGTCAGTATAACAATTGATATCTTAAAACTAAAAACTAAAACTAAATCTTATCTAAGTATAAAGGGAATTAATCGTTGCAATTGAGGATTGCAACGATTTTGCCTGAAATTATTAATTATTTTGTTGGACATTTGTTCTAAAGTCTTATAAAGACATTCGAAATTCTATGTACCTCGGTAGTACTGTACCAGGGAGGCAATTGAAATCTTCAATCTTCAGAACTTTTTTTCTGAATCCTTTAAAGTGCTTGTTTCCTGGTAGTGCAACAACTAGACCATATTGGCACAGCATAAAGCATGGCCGGTCTAAAAACTTGTTTAAATATTAGAATTTTATTCGTGAGGCAAAGTTTTGATTTCCTGTTTATAAAAGGATACAAACATTTTATATATGTGTTACATTTGGTTTGAATGTCCTCAATGTGATATTCAATAGTTAATTTTTGGTCAAGTATTAATCCAAGATATTTCACTTGGTGACTACTACTAGGAAGCTCTAGGCTTATGTGGAAATATTATAAGTTGAGTTTTGGAAGCGTTGGGAGAAATCTTCAATTTTTGTAAATAAGAAGAGAAAATATCTAAACTTTTCTGGAGTCTGCTGCAAATAACACGAAGACTTCTTCCTTATGCGGAAATGCCTATGTCATCAGCGAACAAAGATTTGCGGCAACCCTGAGGCAAATCAGGGAGGTCCGAAGTGAAAATGTTATACAATATAGGCCCAAGAATGCTACCCTGAGGAACTCCTGCTCTAACAAGTAGTCGTTCAGATTTGGAATTTTGATAATTTACCTACAGAGTTCTTTCAGTTAAATAATTTTGAACTAATTACATAATACAGAGTGTAAAATTAAACTTTTTCAATTTAGCAATCAAACCTTCACGTCAAACACTATTGAATGCTTTTTCTATGTCTAAAAGAGCAACTCCAGTTGAGCGGCCTTAAGATTTTTTTGAACGGATTAAATTGGTAACTCTTAAGAGTTGATGAGTAGTTGAATGCCCATGGTGAAATCTAAACTGCTCATCAGCAAAAATTGAGTTCGTATTGATTTGAAGCATCATTCTATATAAAATAATCTTTTCAAAAAGTTTACTTATTGAATAAAGAAAACTTATTGGACGGTAGCTAGAGGCTTCAGCTGGATTTTCATCCGGCTTCAAAATTGGAACAACTTTTGCATTTTCCATTTATTAGGAAAGTATGCCATATGGAAACATCTGTTAAATAATTTGACCAAGAAAAACAAGGTACTCTCTGGGAGTTTTTTTGATGAGGATATAGAAAATTACATCATCACCTGGAGCTTTCATATTATGAAACTTTTTAGTTATAGATCTTACTTCGTCCAAATCAGTCCCCCAGGAATCATCAAAAATATTTTCCCGAGAGAAAATATTCAGATAATCCCGAGCAACCTGATTCTCAATAGGACTATTAAGACCCAAACTGAAATTATGGGAACTCTCGAAATGCTTAGCAAGTTTCTAAGCTTTTTTTCCAATTTAATGATCAAAATTTTACCACTTTCTTTTATTTCCGATCTTTTTTTTCAAAAAATCAAATTTTTTTTTTCACGTTTTTTTGTACTTTAGACTATATACTTTCATCCCCCCAAGCCGTTTTCCGATCAGCGAATTCGGTGTCCAGGCATAGCTGACTAATGGTAAGAACCCCCAAATGGTTTTAACTAAAGTCAAAACTTTAAACGCGTTTTTCTCGAAACCACTTTTTTTTTATCGGTCGAAGATTTTTCTCAGAAACTATAAGAGATATTGACTTGAATCTTTACGCATTTTGTTCCTTATTAAATTCTTTGGAGCTTCTCCCACTTTCAGCCAAAAATATTAACATTTAACATTGTTTGAAGCACCTTAAAGCTGCAAAAAAGCGGGCTAAAAATCGCCTGTTTTTTCATATGGCCGCCATTTTGTTAATTTGCAAGATTTTTTGCTGCCAACGGGAGAAGCTCCAGAGAATCTTATGCAGATTATAATTTCATCACGAAATCTGTTTCAGATGAAGCCGTTCCAGAGAAAAGTCTTCGCCCGTCCAGGCGTTTGCGGCGAACAGGGGTCTGTTTGCCACCATTTTGTGACGTCAATAATGTCTTTTTTTGTGTCGAAAAAAATTTATTTGTAAACTTTAATGTTCAATAAACAAGAATCCTAAAGAGTTAGGCGCATTACTATTCATTTTCCTTGAAAAAAAATTAATTGAAAAACAGGCCGAAAAAAGGCAAAAGATTGGGAATACCCCCTTAAGCACTGGAATAGGCTTTTGAGGTTTTTTTTTCAAATTTTTTGTGAGTTTCCAAAAGGGTTTGGAACTCGGGTCTTATTTAGAAACATTAGTTTCAAAAGTTTTGTTCCTCAGGGCAGAGAATCGCTTTTTAATTTGTTTTTGCAAATCCCGCCAGATAGCTTTCATGGCAGGATCGCGTGTTCTTTGATATTGTCTCCTACCGACATTTTTAAGGCGGATCAAGAGCTGAAGATGGTCGTCTATTATAATTGAATCGAATTTAACCTCGTATTTTGGTACTGAGGCAGCTCTTGCTTCAACTATAAAAGTAGTTAGAGATTCAAGAGCATAATTAATTTCATCTTTGGTTTGCAAAGGAATGTTTGGATCAAAAATATATTCGAGGAATTTCACGCTAACTCGACAAATGGTTGGCAGCACCCTCTCAGATGTCAATGAAACTTTGTAAGTGTATAGATTTCGTCTACTTAAGCAACTTTGCATACTTTTTTTTCCTTGATTTGTTTTCCGTCGATCTTATTTTCCGTGCTGAGCACCAATGCTACCGAAAGGGAGGCAGCTCCCACACCTGGACCCTACCTATCGACCCATCAACTCATGAACCGGGAACCAAAGGCTTTAATTCCCGGCGTGATTAGAGATGTTATACCTCAGAACATCCCGGCGGCACCGACTGCGATTGAACCCAGGCCTGCTGGGGTGAGAGGCAATCACGCTTACCACTACACCACCGGCGCCGCTTACTTTACATACTTATTTTCTTTAAAAAAAAAACTAGACCAACATTTGGAAAGGGCAGAACTTTTTTGTCATCATTTTCTTCAAGAAATTATAACTCAATAATGTCAAGTCCTACAAAAATATTGCCCAAGGATGATTTGTAGAGAAAAAAATAAGCTTTTGTAAAAAAATATAAAATAAAATAAAGTCTTTTTTCTACAAGGAATTTTTTTTTTAATGAGATTTCTCAAAAACACCATTTGTTTTTTAATCTTAAACTTTTTCTAAAGATAGACATACATTTTATCTACAACTCGTTGATATATCCCAAGATGGTCACTTTTAAAGGAAAAAAGTTATTCAACAAAAAAAAAATTCGTGTTCGCACTGAATAAAATCTATGATTTTTTATCAGGGTGGGAACGACAAATTTAAAAAATTTGAAAGACGTGTTTCACGTCTACCACTAAATAAGATTAAGTTAAACTCCAAATGAAAAATTAAATGATCTTTTATAAAGCTTTTGAATATTAAGGAAGGGTCAACTAGTTTCGGAGATATGGACGGAACATGTTATGGTAAATATGGGTGTCGATATATTAAATCACATAAATCGCAAACAAGATATTTTTAACGAGTGAGAAAACCAGTTTCAATGTCACAAAATGTACCTAGAAAATATATATTATTTCCCGTTTAAGATGTAGGCTCAAAAAAGGTACGATGTAAGTACGACCACAAGCCTGTCTGTAGGTATACACTATTTGCTATTTAAGGGGAAGCTTACCGGCCCGAAAATAAAAAAATATTTTCGGTACATTTTTATTTCTTTAAAAATATTGGGAAAAAATAACAAAAATCAAAGCAAATCAGTTTGTTCCTTAGATTTTTGTCAAAAATTACATGTAAATTTTTTTTTCTATCTCATCATGAAAAAAAAAATTGGACTCTCAGCAAAACTGAAAAGTCGATGTTTTGTGGTTTTTTTAGTCCCACTTTATGCCATAATGACTTATAAAAAATGTTTTTGCACGTGAATTTTCTTTGAAAAATTAAAAAATATGTGATTTTCTTAGAATTTTGATATCTTTTTGCAATATTTTTAGAAAAATCAAAACGTAATTATTTTTTTCGGAGCGGTGAGCTTCCCCTTAAGTGAAGATGTAGATACGACCCTATTCAATGTAGTGTAGAAACAGTGACAGTGAGAAAATAAATTACTATAACGTTTAATAACAATTATTCTCATGGATGCTTTAAGTGTTTTTAAATACAGTGCTGGTATTTTGAATCCCAAGTGCAACCGAAACAAACT